GGTTTCATGAAGAGTGAAACAAAACTAGCCAGGAAAACCGTTCAGCTTCCATGGAACTCCAGCGAAGGCCTTGGCTTGAAAGCATCGATAGCGTTCCGAATGCTGGTTACAAATACAGACCAAAACTGCTGCCTGAGTCTTACAAGCAAGGTGTGAGCAGTCAGTTCATTGAAACTTCTACTAGTGCGCCTGGGGTGCAGGGTGCCACGCTATTCTGGATCTTACGGATGAGATTCCCTATCCAGACATTCAGACTACCACAGGGGTTACGCTTTTTACCAAATCGAGTTTTAGAAATGACCGAATCGGACCTCTGATAGTCTCAGAAAAATAGTCGTCGTCGATAATTAGTGTCTATAATTAACTGGATAATTATCTTATCACTATAACGATTCATAAGAACTGAGATTCTCAGAAGTTGAAAGAGCGCCACTGGTAGGATGTATCGAAGACTACGATTGAAGAGCCTGTAGTGAATTTAGCGCATGATCTCGAGATTATACCATTCTCGCAGGAATAGGACATGGTCAGTTGGTGAAATGCATTATCAAAACACTACGATAGTACTTCATTTGAGTTCTCAGTCAACAACTTGAAGTACTTGCTCTGATATAGCGCAACTTTGGAAGAATAAATTCACTTGTGGGGTACCAATGCACTGCATTCTTGCGAAAACTGTTCACAACTCGTTCGTGAGACGCAGGCAGCAATTTCGGATACTTGCGACCAGCATTTCATTCTGGCTCGACGTACCTAGGTCTCCATTCAGAGTCTCATCGCCAGTTGAAAAGTTTTCTAGTAAAAAAATTGTGCTGACCAGGGAAGTCCGCCAACTTACCATGGAACTTTGAATGGAGACCTGGGTAGATCGATAGGTTATTTACAAATATAGATAGCAAAACTGCAACCTGCATTTCACAAGCAACTTATGAGCAGGTAAAGTTTGTAATGGTGCAGTAGGGTGGAGGCTTGGTGGTGAGCTGTGAAGCATAAGCGAGGAATCGCATACGTCGAATCGAGTCGTCGTAGAACTTCATTATGTCGAAGCGAAGTCGTCGAACGTCGAATTTCATAAACCGAACCACCCACCAACCTCGATTCGACGCATTTGCGATTCCTCGCTTATGCTTCAGAGTGGGGCGTCACCACCAGAGCCTCCACCCTACTGCCCACGCATGTAAAACTTTACGCTCGCTCTTAAGTTGCACCGTGTTTAAACAATGCAGAGTGCAGTTTTGCTAAATATGTATTTGTAAATAACCTTATAGACTCTATCGATCTACGCAGGTCTCCATTTAAAGTTCCACGGTAATTTGGCGAACTTCCCTTGGTGCCGGTTGAGCAGTGAAAGTGGTAGTGGAGTTGTGTCACAAGCTCAATTCGATAATAGTACATTCGGGCTCTACTGCTTTTGGAGTCGAACTCCGTCTCCTGGCTGACCGGCGCCCGCATGGCGTGCCGTCGACGAGAGACAAAGCATAATGCTTCCTCTCTGAAACAGAGGTGATCCTTACCTATGTAGGACAAAGCACCTTACTAAATTTGCAGTTTGAAAATACGTGCGGAAAGCGCCACCCGCTCGCGCTAGAGCCAGGGCTCCACTCACTGATCACGACAACGCCCTTGCTTCGTACGCCTTATCCACGATCAAAGCGCAGCTCAGCATGGGGCTTTGAATGGGGCATTTCCGACAGCTTTTTTGTGATTTTTTTTTCTTCCCTACAGAATCAGTGACTACGCCATTAATATTAGAGCGCACTTATTTCCACTTTCAGAATTGGACCGTGCTCCAAAACTCCCAAAGCGCCGCGCGCGCATTTCATATGCATTTCAAGGAGTTATCTTAAGATTTGAATTATCTGAAGAATCTCCATGTAGTATATATTCCTATTGGTGTGTAAAAGAACATGCATTCCCTATAGCACTGGATGCATGACTAAAATGACAAGCTCAACACAACGCTAGCAAACGATGAAATCAAATTAAAACCTTTCTACTAATAATACTCAACATACCGTTCAAAACGCTTCCTTTCAGACGTAAACCGTGGGTCTCCTTCATATCTTCCGCAAGCTGTGTACGATCCATGAATTCTTTTTTATTCATCAGGTCATCTTTCATACGTGAAGGACCAGCGGATTCTCGTTCCTTTACGCAAAGTCTTGCATGAGATCGAAAGGCATTATTGAGCATCTTGTAAATATTGCCCAGTTCTATTCCTACCAACAGGCTACTAAAAGCAAACAAATTATCTCATCCGCGTGAAAAAACAAGGAATGAACTAATGATAAGAACAGCTCACATCCAGCATCTTCGAAATTTCCACTCATTCCATAAAGAGGACATTCGTTGTCGGTATTCAAGTGACCCCATTTGTGGCACTTACAACAACGCACATTCCTCACCTTTAATGAAAATGAAATAAAACTGATGAAACATGACGAAATAGAATAAGAGAGACTGAAGGAAATCATTTTTACGAAATGAATGAAAGGATCAGGAGCAAAAGTGTACGGCAAGAAGAAGTTTCAGTAGGTTCGCAATGTCGTATCTCTGCGAGCGCCATACCTATTGGATCTATGTCGACATAAAAAACAAGCGTAAGCAAGTAAGCGTGTACAGCCACGTCCGCAGCGGGATGGGGCGTAACCGGCGGGAAAGGGGTCTGGCGCGGCGCCAAACCCGTTTTTCACCAATTTTTGGAGCGCATAAGCGACAAAAACTGGTGGAAAACGACTGATACGAGCTGTATGATACAGTGTCGCTTGCCCGCTTCAACGAAATCTATTCCACCGGCCACACCTCATCATCCGCAGTGGACCTGCGAGTGATAGCAATCTGAGGCGTAAGGAAAAGAAAACGCCATGAGGACCGTCGTAAAAGATACAACTCGACACTTCGATGCGGTAGGATGCCAACTATTGCCCGACAAGATGAGAAACCACCCACCCTTTCCCGGCAGAAGAGTTATGGTTCACCGATCCCGGGCCTTAGCCCTAAGCTCAGCTATCCTATTCTGTTTTTTCTTGCACATTCCCAGCCTTGAGTGCCCCCTTTCTTCTTCTTTTCTTCTTCCTAACGTTGTCCCGCTGGTGCAGGGTCCGTTCTTCTGATCGACAATCGCCACTTTGCTCGATCTAGTGCATCCTCTCTGCGAGGTTGGCCACTTTCATGTCCGCATTTATGGTGTCCTGCCAGCGCTGTTTTGGTCTTGACTGCCCCTACTGAACAAAAAAGAAAGAAATCGGAGAAATCGCGCACAACTGAAACTAGTACAATTTCACAGCTGTACAGGAGTTACCGAAATTCAAAAAAGTACCCAGTATGTTGGCAAAACTTTACAAAATATCCCCCTCCTGCAACTGACTTCCACCAATCGGAACATCCGCCAGGAATTTCCCATTTTTTTACAAAAAACAAATGATTATGTATAAAAAAAAGCGAAATCGCAACATATTCTGGTGTTACCTGTATACCAAATGGTTGATCTTGAATCTGATCGTTGTCTTTGGCCCACTCCTCACGAGGTGCATGATACTTCCGTTGCCATTCGAATTTTGGCTCTTCCTAGGTAGTGTTTAAAATACTTTCACACAATCAAGCATAAAGAAAACCTGGTGCAAATCCTACCTTTGGCTCTTCTCTCTTGGTCATTCCTGCTGGAGCGTCGTACATGAAGGATAACCCCATCTTTGCTTTTTCATCTCCAAGAAGAGCTCTTCAATGAAAAAATTCAGTCCTGTGGAATAAAGAACGGAAGTTACTCAAAGCGAAAAAAACAAACTTATTATTGAGCATTTCTTGTTCCTTTTCATACTGAACACGGAAGATCCTCCTGTCGTTTGTCATCAATTGCTTTTTGTTGCCGAACTTCCCAGACCTAAAGCAAGAAGGATTGAGAGCGCTGCTCTACCATTGACAGAGGACAACTAACTCTTTTTAAATTCCACCAAGCACTTGGATGGAAGTCCTTTTTGGACATGAAATTTTGGAAACCCTTCCCCATCTTGGCTTTGAGTGCTGTAACGAACGATCAGGTGACAAACACTTCTGTAATGGAACGTAGTTTGAAAAGAAAAAACGAATTAAGGCTAAGCTGAAGAGACAGATTCATTGTATGAGGATAATAACCATAAACAAAAAAGTGAAGGGATATTATAAATTCTTTATTCTAGAGTTCTCAACAACAAAACATAAACAACTTCACTGTCAACAACATTTGATACAATATATCTAAAATAGCAAATTGTCTAGCGGGATGGAACCAAGCACCTCACAGGACTTCAATAACTTCCGAGGATTGACACAAGGTGAGATAAGTTGAACAAAAGGCTTCACAATGAGAAACGCTTCTACGCCGTAGAAAATACTTTCACAGTGGCATCAGCTGATCCACTTGCGATGAAGCTATTTTCACCCCACGCACAACATAACACACGATCATCGTGGCCGTGTAAATCAAACAATGACGTTTTCGACGATCTGAAAGATTCTAATGTATAGGTAAACAAACAATTATGCCCAATCATTGTAATTTTTTTGTAACCTAGCCAGATTTTGTCGCAATTTCTCAGGGTTGGGAAGGGGAGGAGGGGGGGGGTATACGGCAAGATAATCGTGATATGCCGCGCTGTTGGGCGTGTCGAGCGACGCCGCGCCTGACAGACGAGTTGTCCTGTCTGGCCATATAAATCTGGGCGTTGAAAGGAGAGAGAGTTCAGTACCGCTCGCCTTGTCTCCGCTTGATCTCATATGCGGTTCGTTGCTTCAATCCACAAACTGATGCACATCGAGGATTTTCCGCGCACCCCCTCCCCATGCGCCGCGCACGACGGTGCGCAAGCTGCGATTGTCCTATCCGTCTCCCGGGGTGGGGATGGAGGATTTAGCCAACCTTGTTTCCTCCCATAGAAAAGTTTGACACCTTGAAAATGACTACCCAATCCACTAGAAGCGAGAATGCCTGTCCGCCACTGCTATGCAATGTGTTTGTGTTAATTGGAAGTGATATTTGCGCTGAGAGGTCAGATTTCCCTTGGAAACAAGAAGTATTCGGTCAAATTTTGACCCAAACTTCAAGAAATGAGGCTTCAGGGTATAAGTGCTGATCTGAATGAACATTACGAAAAACAACTGCTAGTGATTCGATTCGCGTTGATTTACAAGGCTTAGCCTAGTGTGTAGGCGGAGGTGGCGTACGGCAAATGGCACGCTAACCATGCGCACGGTCCAAGGATCAAATTCCGGATAGGGTCGCCCAAGCCAACCAAGCCTTCTACCCTTCAACGGGAACAGTAAATTGGCACCAGATTTGTCTGGGAAGATAAGAACAGTGACTTGTACATCGGCTGGCCCTCGCAATCATTGTATTGATTACCTGCATTCAATAAATCTCTACAATTCTGAATGGAAGTAAAATGCAAGCCGCATCCCAAAAAGGAATTAACTAATGGCTAAGACTTTATCCTTCTAGCGTAGTGTATAGTTCTAAGGCATGCTCAGACCGAACCGTAGAAG